GTGCTCGGGCCGCTCAAATCCGGCCCGGGGCCTGTGGGACAAGAGCGATATGAGCAGCTTGGGCGGGCCACTGACCTGCGGCCATACCAGGCCTGCCCGCTGTCCCCCTGGGGCCCAGGGGTGGTGACCAGGAAACATCGCAAGAGAAGAAAAAAGGAGGGAAGAACAATAAAAAAGGAGGTGTGGAGAGGAAAGGCAGGACCAGAGAAATAAGAACCTGGGACGAAGGAAAATGGCATCCACTAAGGGGCATTAGTGGAAATGGCCCCCAAATGACCCCTAAATAGTAAACTGACTAAAGGATGGGCTGCCAGACTTTGATGTACATCTACATCAAAAGTGGATTTTTAAAAAGAACTACAGGTGCATTCAGAGTTCAGAAAAGTAAGGGGATAACCTAAGTCAGGTAGGTTATTACAAAGTAAGTTGATAACATAACCTAAGTCAGATGCAGTCTGGGTGTGGTCCTAAAATCACACTCAGTCCCCGCTGGACGGGCCTGCTGTTAGAGCCAGGCCTCACACACGCAGCCAGGAGCCTGCGGTCCTCTGGTGTGAACTCAAGAGGGCAGGCATTTTCCCTTCATGACCTCTCAAGTGTAGTTCAGATTAAATCAGTGCACCTCAGACCTTCAATTTCTTACTACATATTAGAGATATTTCCAAAAACATTCAGTGCAGAGGAAAAACAATCTGCTCGTTCCACCTAATAAAAACTAGCAAATATGAAGATTAAAGGGAGCATTCTTTGCATGTTATCAGAATAAAGGGATATGCATTTGTCAAGCTTACTGAACTGTACTTAATACATTAATTTAAAGCAACTGTCCACATTGTACTTAAGAGGTTGGGATGGTAAGTATGGGCCTAACATAGGAAGATTCCATCTCTCCTCCTAAGTGGGTTTTTACTTACTTCAAAATTATAAATACGATTAGAGGTGCCGCCAGATGACTTAGTAAATTAGAGAAAAGAATATCTCAGTAAGCAGAAGTTAAAACCTCTCACAGGCGTTCTTTCAAGAACTGTCTTTATCTCTTTATCTTTTCCAAGAAAAATTAAGATGATTCAATCAATGGTGACAAAAATAATAGTCTATACACTTCAGAATGACTTAATAATTAACCATACAAAGACATACATTATGAAAGATTAAACACTTTTATTCAATTTCCAGCACATACCTTTTAGAAATGGGCTTACATGACAATGCACAGGTAGCCATAAGCAAACACTCTGACAGAAGGAATGTGAAGAATTAGAACAAACTGCTTAGGAAACTGCAGTGTGTGCGTGCGTGCGTGCGTGTGTGTGTGTGTATGGTGTTCCTACTGTTCCTTTTTCCCCCTTCTTCTGAAGTTAGGTAAAACTTTCCAAAAGATACAGAGCTTGATAAGACTTCTTGAGGTAACTGGTAGCCCTGGTTCTGGTGTTGATGAAAAATTCTTGAGGGAAAAATATTTATTTTTATTGTAGGCATTTTAGGAGTACTATCATAATAAAGAGATCCTTTTCAACTAAGTACTTTCTGGGGTGTGTGTGTGTGTGTTTGTTTTGTTTTGTTTTGTTTTCTGAATGAGAGGTTTTTTGCATAGTGCATAGCTTTTCATAATATTTTATACTGTATTTAGAGTTTCTTTCATCCATATATAAGAAACCAACTTCTAAGCACTAAACCGCAGGATTGTTAAGCATTGGCATGAGTTAGAGAGACATTTCAGGATACCTTTTTCCCTAGAGGTCTTTAACAACAGGGTAGATTTTTCACTTGGGGTGCTTTAGGTGATCCAGCCAGAAGAGAGGAGCTGGAGATTTCTAACACTTACTTTAATCTTCTGTAATTCTACGAATCTCCTTAATAAGCTCAGGAAACTGGCAGAATTGAATATATCTGAAGACTTGGGGTAGCATGCTAAATAATGAAAACCCCCACCACCTTTAATAAAAAAGAACATGCAGGTCTTACTGAGAAGATAATATCATAATAATTACCTTAAATCCAGTTCTCGAATTGTTTTTCCTCTTTCCAAAGTTTAAATAATTCATCAACAAAAAGCCATAAAAGTGTAATACTGTTACAAGTTTCAATTATTCTGGGCATTTTTTCTTTAGCATCATAGTCTGCAAATACCTATGCAGAAGCCTATGATGACTCCTTGATGTATATATTCAAGTCACTATTTTTAAAAACCACATTCCTCTTCCCCCCAACCCTCCCTGTCCCCCCAAAAGGCACCCAGAGCATGTGTGATATCCCTGGTTCCGAATCTAGTCACTTTTAGCCTCTGACTCCCAACTAAAGTGATACACGCATGACTGGCCTTTGGCCGATAAATATAAAGGCATTCTTATCTGGTTGATTGGGTCTTAAAATAGAGAAGCAGAGACAGAGACCCAAACATGGGTGTATGCAGCCAAATCTCCAACTTAAAAAGTACTACAAATTACTGTGAATTAAACAGGGACACGTAAAGCGCCCTGGACCAAAAGAACGGTAAGCGTCCCCTCAGCTCTATCGCCAGCTGGCTGCATGAGCTTGAGCAACTGCCTTAACCCCTGTGCCTCAGTTTCCCCATCTGCAGAATGGCGGTAATAACAGTGCCAACCTCAGAGGGTGGCAGTGAGGATTCAATGAGACAATGCAGCTCTGCTCCATCCTCAGCTTTTGTCATTTTTGCTGCCACCAAGGACACAGAGATAGAGAAGTCTAATTTAACTACGCAGCTCTGCACAGACTGCATGGCAAAGAAAGGACTTGGGGAAATTGGGTATGGTCTTAGCTGGCAACTTTGGAAATGCCCCTTTCTCTACAGCAAACTTCAGAATGTTCCTAGAGTTTAATACAACTCAGCACAAATTCGCTGAGAAGCCGGCTCGCCCTGCACTTCCTGGGAACCTGCCATCAGACTCACTTACAGGCAAACTCCCTTCCTAACTAAACACACATGTTTATTTACTGCGTGGGTCTGTTTTCCACTCCCTCCAACCGATTCTAGAAAAACTTCTATTTGCAGAGGCAGCTGGCCACAAACAGACATGCCCAGAATGGCACCACCTGTCCCTAGGTTTTACTGCCCGTCCCTCAGGCGGCTGAGAGTGGAGCTGCCAGGCTGGAAATCATCTCCACGGCAGACACTGGTGGTCTGCTAACTGATAAGACCTCTCCCTGGTATCTGCAAGTGGAAGACAAATTACATTCTTTAGCTTATCTCCGACTCCCTCTACAATTAAACAGTTTAGGCTTAATTGTCAGAGGCACAAAATGCATCTGCTTTCCCTTCGGTCCTCACCTTAGAAGTCAAGGTAGAGGGATGCTCTGACTCTCCTGAGGGGCATCCCAGTGCAGCTAAGGGGAAGGGGGGTCTTTACTGGAGGCACCCCATGCCTGAGGTTAAGAAACAGGGAAACAAACTCATTTAAACACCTCAGTCTCACAAGTACAGAATGTCTATGCATTCGGAATTTCGAATTTGCCTTCTGGCTCACAAAGGTATTTAGGCAAATAATTCTGTGCATTAAAGAAGGATTGAAATGGTTTCCACAGGTTAAAAAAAAAAATGGCCTGTCCGGCGTGGCTGAGTGGTTGAGGGTCGACCTATGAACCAGGTCACAGTTCAATTGCCGTCAGGTCACATGCCCTGGTTACGGGCTCCATCCCCAGCAGGTGGCGTGCAGGAGGCAGGCAATCAATGATTCTCTCTCATCATTGATGTTTCTATCTCTCTCTCCCTTTCCCTTCCTCTCTAAAATCAATAAAAATATATTAAAAAGAAAAAAGAAATGTAATAAAGCATACTTACATTGAACATACCAAGAAACTTTAGATGACTAAAAAGTGGAAGGGGACTGAAAAAACTGAGCAATAAAACTTTTACTTTCTATCATAAAGTCCTGCCTGCACCCCTCCACCACCAACCCAAATCTTTTTCAGTTCCCATTTTTAATTTTGCTTTAGTGTCTAAAAGGAAAAATGAATCAGAATGAAAAGAAAAATGATGGGTTAGATTTGAGGGGAGCCCATAACAGGAGTGAAGAGTTATTTGCTCGGTGAGCAATTCCTCCAGTCAAACTGTAATTCTCTGGTGGTAGCTACGATGATGATGTCAATTTTGGTGATTTATGACCTTGGAGCAGGTTTGAGGCAGACCACCCCAGTCAAAAAGATTCTCTTCAGACATGAATAGCACCAGAAAATGGGACAAAAGGAAAATGAAATCACAGCTACCTGCAGATAAGTGGACATACTTAAGCTTACTTTTTCTGAAATATTTGTAGAGGTATTTATAAGCAGTTATACTTTATTTGGGGGGAGGGGGCAGGTGGGTGTGGCCCAATGGACCAAGAGGTCCCGGGTTCAATGCCCAGGTTGCAGGTTCGATCCCCAGTGGGGGCATGCAGGAGAGAGCCGATGGATATGTCTCTCTCATCGATATTTCTATTTCTCTCCCTCTCCCTTCCTCTCTGAAATCAACAAAATATTTTTTAAAAAGAGAGGAAGATAAACAGTAACAACTAATAAAAGGTAATATTACCTTAAAAAAAAACTTGTCCCCTTATTTTGACTTTTCCTAGATGCCAATCCAAAAAACGTCTTTGTCAGGGAAGGTTATCATCTCCCTGTGAAACCTGAGATTTGGGGAAAAGTTCAGCAATGCTGTTAGAGGCGACGCCCTTCCTGGGGCAGGAGTGGGTCTGCTCTATTTGAGGAGGTATCTGCTTTCCTCCTGCATCCACTCTGGCATAAAACACTATCTGCCCAAATATTTCCATTTCTAGGGAAGCCTGACTCCTGGAAATCCAAAAGACATGAGCAGTGAGTAATAAAGCGAATTCCTGCCCTGGCTGGTTTGGCTTGGTGGCTAGAGCATCGGCCTGTGGACTGAAGGGTTCCAGGTTCGATTACTGTCAAGGGCATGTACCTTGGTTGTGGGCACATCCCCAGTAGGGGGTGTGTAGGAAGCAGCCAATCAGTGATTCTCTTCCATCATTGATGTTTCTCTCTCTCCCTCTTCCTTCCTCTCTGATATCAATAAAAATATATTGAAAAAAAGAAAAGGGCAGAGAAAACCCTGCCCGCCTGGGGGCAGCTACAAAGAAGGGCTGTCCAGGAGGATCCCCACCCACGTCCCCAGATGCCAGGGAAAGGGCCACAGGCCCCCCCATACAACACCATGGGAACACCTTTTCTCCACGTCCATGGTACCAGGGACAGGGCCTGGCCCCTAGAAGGTTCGGGATTTCTTCATCCAGTGGTAAAACATGGAGAAAGGCTGCGTTTGGGGTCCTCAAGAATTTTTAAAACATGCAATACCTGACTACTTTAGTCAGGAGTAGTGACCTCTTTTTGCTTACTTAGATTGTAAAAAATAAAAAAGACAACTTCCCTAGCCAGGTGGCTTGGCTAGTTGGATCGTTAGTTCGTATACCAAAAGGTTGTGGGTTCGATTCCCAGTCATGGCATATACCAAGGTTTCAGGTTCAATTCTTGGTCTAGGCACATATGGGAGGTAACTGATCAATGTTTCTTATATCAATGTCTCTCTCTCTATTTCCCTCTCTAAAATCAATAAAAAATATATCCTCCGGTGAGTATTAAAATAATAATAGTAATAAATTCCACGTAGGAAATCCACTTTTTACTCTCAAGCTACAAATGGGCCTGTGTCCTCTGTGAACTGGTGAGCAACTTCCTTCCGAATGGTGAGAATTAGGTGCCTGACCCGGTCTCCTTTCCTGCCTGGACACCCGTCATCTTGGATGCTCAGATGCACAACCATGAGAACTCCTGTGGCCCCTACATGCTTGACCTGGACTTTCATTTCCCTTTGTTTCTGACTTTCTATCTGACAATTATTTCACTGCAGGTATGTTTCTTGGAAACCTCCCCAAACGCTTTTCACAACGAAAAGGGAGAGGAAGAGATCAATCAAAGGGCATAAGATAGCTCGAGGGAGCAGATTCAAGGAGTACGTTCTTAGCGATGGAACGCACTGGGTGCAGACTTCTTTCCCTGGGGCTGGTGGACGGGCTCCCGCAAACCTTGCACCTCTTGAAAGAGAATGCAAAATCACAGGAGACAGTGCCTTTTGCCCAGGTCTACAGCTTGCACCAGAGTCCCCAACGGCTGAGAAGCTCAAACAGCAGAAAAGGCCAGGAATCTGGGCCAAAGAGTAAAGCCAGGCAAGGGAACCGGCCGGCCAGGTACAGCGAAAGGCTGAGACAGCCCTGGGCTACTACCAGCCCAGTGCTTCTGCGCCATCAGCAGTCTTTCTCCTCCGAGTTGGACCATCACATGATTCATGTGGTTGCATATTAACCTACCAGATGGTCGGTTGAAGTTAACAAGGGCCTGCTGCTGCGGCTGCTGCGGCTGGGGCGGCGGCTGCTGCGGCGGCGGTGGCTGCTGCTGCTGCTGCATGCCAGGCAACGTCCTTTTCCCCTGGACTGCGAGCTGCAGCGTTTCGGGGAGGTGCTGGCCCCGGGCCAGCATTTTGTAAGCTAAAATCTGAGCCCGCAGCTGATGCAGCTGGACAGGACTGAAAGGCGAGGGACCTCTGTTGGGCTGGTTCATCGCCTGGGGATCGCCAGGGATGAGGGGCCCTGGCTGGTTCGGTGGCATCTGGGGTGGGGTAGGGCCGCCTCCCGACGACATCGGGCTGGAGATATGCTCTGCAGCTCCCAGGGGAGATGGGTGCGGTGACATATAACCTAGAAGAAAACACAAAAGATTCCTGAATATTTTGGTAATTTTCTACAACAGCCCTATCTGATAGAAATTTAAAATGTACATAATGTAATCATCACATTATTTATATAACAAAATTTATATATATCACATATATATAATTTAAATTTTTCTAGTAGTTACATTAAAAAGTAAAAGAAGCAGATAAAACTAATGTTAGTAATACATTTCATTTAAGTCAACGTACCCAAGATATTATCATTTCAAAATGTAACAACTGGTAAAGAGACATCTGCATCCTTTTGTTCACCATCTCGATTCAGACCAGCCATGTTTCAAGTGACCAATGGCCACCATGTGTCCTCGAAGGTAAACTGCTAGTGGCTGCTGTTCACCTACAGGAAGGCACCCGGGGGTAAGTCTCACACATTAAAAGGAGCTCCAACCTTGAAACAAAACCCGCAGGTGTCTGCTATATCACCATGTGAAATGAAGCGTCTCTTACGGAGGAAACATTACGTGGCTTAGTATGCACATTAGGAATAGTTTGCAATCATCGAGGGTCGGCACTGCTGTAGGAGTGTACACGGCACCGTACACGTTGTCTTCGTTGAGTTCTCCCTGGAAACAGCCTGACGGAAGGATGGAGGGCAGGTGATGCCCCTGGAAGGAGCAAGGACACTGGCAGGGGATGGAAAGGTGAGCTAAGGAAGGGAAGGCAGCCAGTAAGGGCTGTGCTGCTGAGCCAGCTGCTGCAGCGGGTGCCTGAAGATTAATCTCATGCAGGAACTCTGGTAGATAAAGTGAGGAACTTGCCTCCACGTGACCCCGGGGAGGAGTATGGAGCTGGGTGTTTACACTGTAAGGATCCCCTGTCAGTGCTCATGTTACTGGGTTCTTTCTAGGGTCTAATATTAACTGTCCGATAAAAATATTATTAACTTCCTTTTTTAAAGACTTAAAAGTTTCAAAAATCTTCTAAAGACCACAATACATGAAAATGAGAGTAAACAGTTTGGGTTGTAAGAGATCTAAATGGGAAGTTTAAGAATACTTTTCTTGAGGAAGAAGAGGCAAAATGAACAAAAATTGCAAGGAACTTGTTTCAGGAGTTGAACGGTAGAGCTCAGCCACCGAACTCCTAGCAGAACCTATGACTGTGTGTTGCTGGAGGGAGACCCAAGGTGAAGGAGAGCACAGAGCGGCCGACTGCAATCTGAGAGGTTGCCTTGACTTCAAACCAAGTGCTAATTAACGAAGTCAAAGGTGTCCTCAGACACAATATAAAAGATCCGATGAAAGGTCTCTGCTCTTTAATAAATGGACTTGTGTCATAATTATAACAAAGGTCAGCACCTAGGTGTTTATTGGACAAGTGCTGTGTGTTTGAACCTTTGCTGAGAACAGCTTTGTGCACCTATGTGGGACCATCGCGACCTGAGACTGTGTCTGCCACAGGCTGGGGACTCACATCACCCTTCACCAGACTACAGAGAGGAAAGGACACAGTCACTTTTACCTCAGATTGACGGTGGGAAAGGGAAGCACATTTAGCTTGATCCCCTAAGACGAGAGTAGGGTTTGTTGGATCAATTGGTGACCAGTAGAACTCCTTTCAGAGAAATCCTGTTCTGAAGAGAAATGAAGAACGACCCTCATTCCCCCAAATCCCTTCTCCATGGGGAGCACAAAACCACACAGTAATCAGGGCTCTAGTCGGTCATAGAAGTTAGCCAAGAAAATGCCCCTGAAAGCAGCTTGCAAAGCTAACAGAAGTTTAATCCCAATAACATACACCTATCTTCATCATTAACAACATTCTTCCTTTTTTAATGAGGTTTAGCTCTCTAATTGTAATGCTGGTGCAAAGCTTTTGTTCATTATAAAAGCACCTTCCAGGCACCTTTTGGCCAACCCTGCACCTATCACAGGGAGAAAAACTTCCTACCAAAGCTAATGACGCTCATAGTAGAAGGTGTTAAAATGGGTCATATGTCTCCTGCCTCTGGTCCCTCCTATTTCCTAAGGTTATCAATTACAGCTTACTTATGATAAATCAGAGGATGCCTAACATAATGAACCAAAACACAATGAACAATCCAGTCTTAACTATATAAAATTGTTTATCATATCTTGTGTAAACTGTGAACTGTGGGCAAAGTTATGAATGTGAGGCAGTTACATTATGCACAATAATTAATTTTACTTTAAACTGGTTAAAAAAGAAACTGAAAGTAGAATAAAAATCACTTTCCATAATTAATTAATAAACAAAATTTTACCTCAAATTTAGTAAGAAGAAACTGAAGGTGGGAAAATCGCTCCCTAGAATTTATAGGGGATGTCAATAGAATCATTCTATCACAGAATGATATTAAAGACTAGAGGCCTGGTGCACAAATTCATGCACCAGTGGGGTCCCTCGGTCTGGTGGGGTCCCTGCGGGATAGGGACAAAACCGGTTCTCCAACATCCCTGAGGGGTCCCGGATTGCAAGAGGGCGCAGGCCAGGCCAAGGGACCCCACCAGTGCATGATCAGGACCAGGGAGGGACGCAGGAGGTTGACCAGCCTGGGAGAGACTGCGGGAGGGCTCCAGGGCATGTCCAGCCCGTCTTGCTCAGTCCCGATTGGCCAGACCCCAGCAGCAAGCTAACCTACCAGTGGGAGCAACTGCCCCCTGGTGGTCAATGCATGTCATACTGGCTGGTTGGCTGGTCAACTGTCTGCCCCCTGGTGGTCAGTGCATATCATAGCGAGCGGTTGAGCAGCCTTAGCATATCATTAGCATATTATGTTTTGATTGGTTGAACTAAGGACCAGATGACTGGACACTTAGCATATTAGGCTTTTATTATATAGGATGTGACAATGATTCAGATAAAGAGAATTTTTTGTTCTAAATGACTAGCATTCAATAAACTTTAGGTAAAACAGAATCTAAACAATGAAACAAAGCATTTTGGCAATTATCTTTAGTTGAAGAAACAGAGTGAGGAAATTGCCCAAGTGTGAGTATTTGTCTGAGGATGACAATGTTGATACAGAATCTGCTCTTTTTGAAATCTGGTTTGATATGCTAATTCAAAAGCAGTCAAAATGTGGCAGTTTTCTTTTCCTCATCCTCAAAGGCCATTATCTCCCCAGTTTCACCTTGCCTCAGAGCGACACATCATCTTTCTCCTTTTAATAATCTTGAACTTATAAGTGCCAATTTTATATGAATTTTCTCTATACGCACACACACACTCACACATGCAAACACAAAATATTATATACTTGCCTTTGAAGACTTTTTTTTTTACCCAAGGACTAAAAATAAACAATGTTATCATTGGTACCATAAGGTACACAATTCAGTATTTATTGAAAGAAATGGTTTTGCTTCTCAACCAATCACTTAAAATAACTTAATAGGTTGCTAGGTAGTTAAAGCTGGCAGGTTTCTGATCAATACCACATCTCCCTGTACCTGTGTGTTTATAAATGGTTCTCTACACTAGGGTTTTTAAAGATACATGTTATTATAGAGTCTAAAGTCTTTTAAAATCATTATACTAAATAAGACTGCATTATACCAATACTACTTTGTCAAAAATACATGTTTAAGTAATTCATTCCCCAGCCTACAACGCACTTTTACTATTTTAGAGAAAAATATTACATGCTAATTTTGACTCCACTTAATGCAGGCCCCTGCATTTCAAAGTAATTATAATTTACTGAAATAATATAAAAATTAAGACTTATTTAAAATTGTTGATTTCTGAGTGCATAAGTTCACTTCTCTACCTAATTGAACAAAATTTACTAAGTATGTATCCAGTTATGTGCTACATACACATTGGTGCCAAGTGTTGGAGAGTCCAAGAAAAATCATCATTCTTAAGTTGATGAAAGGAGCCAAGCAATGAGAGAAATTTGAAGATACATAAAAGTAAAAATACTCCATTAAAATTCATGCATTTTGGAGTTTTCCCATGGCCCACAGTTAGAGGCACTACAAAGCCAGAACAGATACAGCAAGCACATGGCTTTGCCAATCACTGAATACAGCTCATCTGCGCTTCCCAAGTATTAAAAATTAGAGATACATTAGCTCTGTGAACACGCCTAGCTCCTTAGAATTTTAATTCATTCTTAACACTAAATGGGTCAATTTTTTTCTTCCTGGACTGTAAAACGTCCCAAGGCTTTTTTTAAAAATATATTTTATTGATTTTTTACAGAGAGGAAGGGAGAGGGATAGAGAGTTAGAAACATCGATGAGAGAGAAACATCAACCAGCTGCCTCCTGCACATGTCCTACTGGGGATGTGCCCGCAACCAAGGTAAATGCCCTTGACCGGAATCGAACCTGGGACCTTTCAGTCCGCAGGCCGACGCTCTATCCACTGAGCCAAACCGGTGCTGGCCCAAGACTTTTTCAGGATGCTTTTCTGACATGGTCAAGATTTTGTGAGTCCTCTGCAACAACTATACCTACCTGTCATCAAAATTCAGATCAGAGTCTGGGATATTCACAACCCTGTTTGCATATTAATGAAGACACACTCCGGAGCCACCATGACTTTCCATCTTTGGGGGCGGGGCAGTCAATTAGCATATTCCCTCCTTATTGGCTATGGGTGCTGCCATCTTTGCGATGGCATGAGGGTCAATTAGCATATTCCCTCTTTATTAGATAGGATAAAACTGACTACATTTTTCTAAATCCTTACACTCAAAAACCTTCTCTCAGGTGTTTGGAGGCCTAATCATGGATAGAGAAAAAAGCTCATACTACTATATATTAAATTACATAGGAGTATACAAAAGAATGCATAAACCATAAACTTTGAATTAGAATATCAACATACTGGGATTAATTAGTGCTAGAATAACCCATGCCCCTTGTATGTTTAATGACCATACCATGATTCTGAAAACAAGTTACACTGTATTCAAAAGACTTTGAGGTATCTTTACATGCCTTCAACAGTGAGGGGAAAAGGCACCAAGAAGAAGAGAAATATTCCATATATTGATTTAGCCATTATTGTGGGTTGAATCGTGCCCTCTACAAAGATAAGTTTGAAACCCTAAACCCTAGTCCCTGTGAATGTAACCTTATTTGGGAATAGGATCCTTGCAGATGTAATCAAATTAAGATGAGGTTGCCCGGCCAGCATGGCTCAGTGGTTGAGCACTGATCTTATGAACCAGGAGATAACAGTTCGATTCCCAGTTAGGGCACATGCCTAGGTTGTGGGGTGTGATATCCAGTAAGGGGCTGTGTAGGAGGCAGCTGATTGAGGATTCTCTCTCATCATGGATGCTTCTATCTCTTTCTCCCTCTCCCTTCCTCTCTGAAATCAATAAAAAACTATATATATTTTTAAAAGGATGAGGTCATAGTGAATTAGAGTAGGTCCTAATCCGCTGACTGGTATCTTTATAAGAGGAGGGAAATCTGGAAACAGACACAGACACACAGGAAAAATGTCATGTGGAGACCAAGACAGAGATAGGAGGGATAGATCAGCAAGCCAAAGAATTCCAAAGATGTTGACAATCTACAGAACCTAGGAAGAGGCAACAAATTCTTCCTACAGTCCTCAGAGTGCACGGCCCTGTTGGTACCTTGATTTCAGACTTCTAGTCTCCTGCAAAAGAATGATTTTCCATTGTTTGAAGCCACCCAGTTTGTGGTAATTTGTTACAGCAGGCCTAGGAGACTAATACAACTACCCACCAGCAAAGACAGGTAATTCCACGTCAAAAAAGGGCACCTTTCAGACAATGTATGTATGAATGTGCAGCTTGAGGGACTCAGGTGGCGCACTGTGCCTTCACATCTACTGTTGTTGGGAGGCAGACCAGGATCCTCCTTCCCGCCCTGTCACTTACAGGTGGTGGAAATTGGGAAAACAAAGTAAATTCTCTTTTATCCCATCTATAAAACCGGGATGATATAATTCACCTCACTAATCATGATAAAGATTCCGAATGAAGTACACAGAGCACTCTGCTAGCTAGTGGAAGCTAGTAAAATTACTAGGATTTTGTTAGTAAAAGTGACCACATGAATAATCAAGTTGTGTTGGTGGGGACTGGGGGTGATTTCTATAGAGAAAAGAAACCTGCTGGATTCACTCTTCCTCTGACATGTTCTTTGGAAGTCACAGTTAAAATAACCAATATGAAAGACGAACGACTACGGTTTGAAGCCAAAATCAGGCATGTAGCATTACAGACCTTGGCTGTGTTGATCCATCGGACTCTGGGGCGGGCCCATCCCAGGGTGAGGTGGTCGCATGCCAGTGCCCTTCATGGACCCGCAGTGGATGTCTTCTACAATGCCCTTGTCGTGCATGCCATCCATGGGCTGAAACAGGCGAAGCACTGCTGTTAGATACCTCCTTCATATAGAGCATCTCTATCTGGAGTTGTAAGTCCCCTCTCTAAAGTCCTCAAAACGGTGGCACAATCACCTATCACCCATACAATAGTCATATATTTCTACACCTACATTACACATATTATAATATATTACATATATTTTAGAGGTGGGGGCAAAAAAGATTAAAAGAACAACATCAATAGCATCATCAAAACTACCTGTTAAGTCAAAAGTTAGAGTATAAACAGTTGAATTTTTCCTATAATGTCAAAACCTGGAAGTAAAAATAAAAATCTGCTCAAAGGTATACAAATAAAAGCTGTTCTTCCATACCTTCTTAAGTAAGTCCTGAAACCTGCCCTGTGTTGAAGTTAGTCTCAAGTCTGAAGGAAGACTATTTGAAATGTCTGTGATGATCCATTTGTTGGGTAATTTTTTGTCATTAGAGCGGAAGGGACTACGGAAAGTTGAAAAGTTGAAACCAGAAAGTTCCATGGCAGTTGGGAAAAGAGAAACAGACCGGTTAGAGCAGAGAATGGGGTGACCACTGAAAGGGAAGGGCAGTGAAACAGATGAAGCTGTGCCACAGAGGGGGCAAGACTGAAAAAGGTTAAAGGCACAGTTTGGGGAAAAATTAAGAACACAGGGTCTGGGAACAGGACTTGAGGCCTAGTAAATAACAGACACACAATAAATAGCTATTGAGCGGACGTTAATCCAATCCAGAATTGGGCATCGGAGCATGTGTTTGGGAAAGGCAAAGTCGATTCCTCTGCAAACTGCAACAGCAATTTTCAAAAACAGCCTGAAAGGAATATTTCCAGGAGTTTATAGAAACCAAATAACTTCAAGCAAGAAAGCATGAATGTTTGCAGTTTTGGAGAAAGGAAAGTTAATTTCTGCAGAGTCAAAAGCATGCACTTGAAAAGAGGAAAAATGTACCATAAAGAGGATGTTCAGAAGAAAAATGGGAAGGGTTTGGTATAAAGAGTGTCTCTGAGTGTGTTAAATAGTAATAATAGGGAGGAAATCAAAGCAACACAGCAGATGCATTTAGGCCACTTGTTTACTTATTTCCAGTAACGCTGCAAAGCAAAAAGCTGACGCTCAGAGGGAGAAGGGGGAGAAAGACAAGGAAGACAGCTGTCCATAAAAAGAGTAAGAAAGCGAAGGCATCTGGCCAGCAGGTGTGAACTTAGGCACTAAACTCGTCCTCACCCAGGGAATCATCTGAGGAGCTGGCAGTTCAGGAGAACCAGATTGGCCAAAAACAATGCACACCTTGCAGAATGAGAGCAAAACCAAACAAAACAGAGTTTAGATGGGGGTAGAGGATATGAGGACATGTGAACAGAAGGGGTCGGAAGAGATATTTATTAATAAAAACACCCAGTGCAAAAATGTAACACTGACCCAACACTTATTTATACAGATAACGTTTTTAAAAATATATTTTTATTGATTTCAGAGAGGTAGGAAAAGGGAGAGGGAGAGAGAAACATCCATGATGAGAGAGACTCATGGATCAGCTGCCTCCTGCAAGTCCCCCACTGGGGATCGAGCCTACAACCCAGGCATGTGCCCTTGACTGGAATTGAAACTGGGACCTTGCAGTTTGCAGGCCGATGCTCTATCCACTGAGCCAAACCGGCTAGGGCCAGCTAACTTTCAAATGCTCAAATAATCATAGAGATTAGCTAAATATGTCCTTCACATTTTATCTTTCATTTTGGAGGTGAGACATCCTTAACCCATTCTGAAATTATTTAACCCATCTGGACTAAGGTTTTACAAGTGACAGATCAGATCTATAATACAATTCCCAAATTAATTTAATATGAGCAGAAGACAATTTAATGACTTCAGTCTGTCTATATGTTCAATATGTCTGCTAAAAATATGATAGAAAAAACAGTTTCATTTCATCAGCTACCTGACAAGCTAAAATGTGTTTGTTTTTCTTTTTCTAAAAATAAAAGGAGAGAGAACTTGGGAACATTATAGGGATACTCACAATATATTTTTAAATGCAAAGAAGAAAGTTGCAGAGTAATTAAGTAGGAATATGATTCTATTACGGTGAAAGAAAAATTATTTTAAAAAATCACACCTGCGTATGATTTTTACTGAGCATGGAGAAAAGTAAGGTGTGAAAAGCTGTCAACTGGGGTAGAGCCAGGATTAACCATTTCCTTTATTTATCTCAGTATGGTTTCGTTTTTCAAAATAAGCAGTCTATTACTTTTCTGATTTGAAAATCATCGAATTACAAAATTTGTAATGAAGTGGGTCTTTTCTTTTGGTCTCCAATGCCTTAGCTTAAAATTGACCTACAGTCCCACACAATTAGAAGAAAGACTTGCTCTTTTTTGCAGAAATCTTTCCATTTTAAACCAGTATCTCCCATGTTTTGTCTATTTAACATTAAGAGGCATCCCACCACCCTATCCCCGTGATGTCATCCACAGGGGACGTAAAACCTCTACTGTCTCATCAGGCACGACCTTCAGGTAATAGGCAGTGGCCTCACAGAGTTTCCTTGACTTTTGCTGACTTTCAAGGCAAATTGTCTCAGAGGCTCTTGTTTACTTGCTCCAAAGGCTGTTCTCTCTTCTTTGCATGTCCTGTGAAGGCCTAATGCCAAAACTCTTCCAGTATGACCATCCCCACAGCAACAATCCAAGTCTCACAAACAGAGGATCATTATAACAGTCCAGAAACAGACGGCTGGCCCCGAGCTCTGCTAAATCAGGCCCCTCTCCCAGAATGAAGCCACTGAGAGAGACAGCCACGTGCCTGCGAGGGCCTCCCTAGAAACTACCTAAAATCTTTAGGAAGGGACTCATGTTCCTTTTACTCTTTGAGATCTAATTTTTAAAATAAACACCAACATTTTAAAGAAAGAATAATTCTCAGTATGTTCATTTGTGGATGATACAAGTTACTGAACACATATAGTCAGACTTATTCATTTATACACTTATTCACCAAGCCAAAATAGCTGCAACCCATACATCAGAGAATCTAACTATCAGCACTGCATATTCTATCTTCTCTTTTTAAAAAGCCACGACCTGCTCTTCCTGACTAGTGCAACATCTGTCACAATAAACAAGCCTCAGGAGGTATGTTTTTAATAATATTTAGGGTAAGACAAAGACCTAGCTTCTCTGGTAAAAGCAGCAGAAGCAGAGGGGCAGGGGTCAGCAGGGACATTAGCCGTCCACAACGCAGAAGATGAGGCTGAACAGGAGGAGAACCCCTTACCTTGTGCATCTGATGCATGCCTTCCTGCGGGAAGTCGGCGGACGCCATCGTCGGCATAGGGTGTGAGACGCTTGGAGGCCCAGGACTTGGCCCCATCATACTGTGGACGGAACCTGGAGACGGTCCAGGTCCCGGACTAGGTCCGAGAATCGGCCCAGGAGAGGGTCCGGGCCCTGGCGAGGGCCCTGGGTGGGGCATCGCACCAGGGTCGGTGGGTGTGGACATCTACTTCTCCTGTCTCTGCCAGTCAGCACAATGATACTGAGTTGAAAAGAAAGGGGGGAAAAAAAGGAATGTTTTCAACATGATGCTAAGATCAGAATAAAACAGTTGTTAGTATTTAGTATTTGACGGTGCCATTTTTATAACAAACATCAAACAGAACTGCCCTGCCTGCTCCAGATGTTTGAATGTGATATATATCCATCTGCCCTAGTCTTTATGAAGACCACTTGTTTAAAAGAAAAAAATGCTCTAAATGATTCCCCAGAAAGATATAAATCATCTAAGATACAAAAAGTACTCACTGGAGAAACTCAAATTTAGCACATAAGCAGAATTCTGAACAAGTTTGAAATTTATTACTGAAGCCAACAGATGCTCTCCATTACTTACTGGCTGGGGCACCTAGCAAGTCATTAACCTCCCAAAGCCATTAAAACATAACCCCCTTAAAATATATCCAACCAACATCCATTTTCATAAGTAAATGGACACTCAAAACTTCATAGAAAATCCTAGGCAGTTAAAATCCCAGATATCAAAAAAGTACAATTCCATAAATTGAGAATGAAAGAGAATCCCCAATCATAGGAAAAGCAGAGGTTACGGGAGTCAGACAAATATGGGTCCATGTGATATAATTATTAGCTGAGAGTGAAATGCAACAATACATGTAAAAACACAGTTCTTTGCCTGGCACAATAAGCAGCCATCTATTATTATTAAGCAGCCATCTATTATTATTATTATAAGATTGGTATTCAGATTATATATATTTCAGGTGTTCAACATTATAGATGTTTGGATACACTACAAGGTGTTCACCGCTGTAAATCTAGTTACCATCCATCACCATACAATTGACCCCCTTTACCCATTTTGCACTCCTCTCAACACCTTTCCCATCTGTTCTTTCTATGATTTTGTTTGTTCGTTGCTTTTTTTTAAGATTCCACATATAAGTGAAATCATACGGTATTTGTCTTCTCCGTCTGACTTGTTTCACTTAGCATAATACTGCCCTCAAGAGTTCCTTCCTTTTAACGGCTGAGTAATTTCCATCTCCTTTATCCATTCATCTACCAATGGGCACTTAAGCTATTTCCATGTTTTAGCTATTGTAAATAATACTGCAAGGAACATAAAGGTGCCTATATTTTTTTCAAATTAGTGTTTTCTTCTCCTGTGACCACTCTTTTTAGCATTATCTTCCCCACCACCGCCACAAAACCAGAGGTGATCAGAAGGATCAGTTTAAGACGTGGTCCTCCTGCCAGCCAATGGAAGACAACTTGGACAGTCGAGAATTCGTCCTAGCCTCTCTGTGGTCCAATATTCCAAGAGAAGTCATCCATGACGCCTGGATCGGGGCCCACCACAGATGAGGTAAGTCAATTCTGGGTCTATTTCAGCAAAGTCATATTCCATCGCCCACGCTCTGAAACTTCTTGGCATCCCCACTGAGGAGCCCCCTCATGGGGTGGGTACAACTGCATCTTGGACATGAGCCAAAAACGAGTAAATAAGTGTTTTTCCAAATCCTGATGGAGATCAATGATCCCAGAAAGATAGCTGAATGGCACTAGTGATAGTAATTATTACACAGTATGTTATCTGGGGGCACACACCTGTACACACAAAAACTTTCTGCTGTTACCCTCACAAAATACAGAATGAGACACCATAAGAGATTTACTTACCCACTGCTCAGTGGCAGGGATAGAATTAGACCACAAGGGCCCAGTCACCTATAACAAGGCCCTCTCCACAGTGGAAGTAGAGGTTTAAAAAAACACCCCACATTAGTTCCATTCTTAGCTACCTACTATCACCTCTTGCAGTATCTCGAGACTATGAAGGCCATGAAGACAGGTTTGGCTCTTTTTCATTCCTGTATCCCCAGCACCTCTGACCAGCATGTAGTAAGTGCTCAAAAAAAATCTGAATGAACTGAAATGACAATTTCAAGGGCCAACGATTAACAGAGTCAATTATTTTATGTATAAAAATTATAGAGCAATCAGTGTCTGAGGTGTGTTCACAGGAACGAGTTTGTAAAGTATGACTGCCTAATCATTATACTATGCACCTGAAACTAACAGAAAATAATATTGAATGTAATCTGTAATTGAAAAAAAGAAACCTTAAAAGCGTAGGCAAGAACACAGGGCAGAAGTCAGACATAGACAAACACAGCAGTCCTCGGGTTACGTTGGACTCCATATACGTCGTTCCGTGGTTATGTCGCCATTTCCCATTTATTTATTAAAAAAAAAAAGTTCCATAACTTCAACATATGTACATATGTACTTTGTTTTTTTATTATTTATTTACCACAAGTAAAGGTCAGGAATTGTTCTTTCTTTTAAATTATTTTTACTGTTTCACTTCATTACTGCTGTGGATGTGCTCCATGTGAGTGACGTAGGTGCTTATGTGGGTGGGTTCAGACTTATGGCAAAAATTGCGTCACGTGCTATAGGAACGGATCTCCGATGTAACCCGAGGACCTACTGTATCATATGATTTCACTTCTACATAGAATCTAAAAAAAAACCAAAAAAAAAAACCCACATAAACAAAACAAAAGAGCAACAGACTCACAGATAGAACAAACTGATGGTTGCCAGAGTGGAAGGGGTGGGGAATAAGTGAAAAATGTGAAGGGGAATAAGAGTACAAACTTCCAGTTATTAGATAAAGAAGCCACAAGGATATAGTGTACAACACAGGGAATATAGTAAATATATAAAGAAAGGCTAATATGCAAATTGATTGCACAGCAGAACCACCAGTCCCTATGACGCGCACTGACCACCAGGGGCAGATGCTCAACACAGGAGCTGCACCCTGGTGGTGAGTGCGCTCCCACAAGGGGAGCACCACTCAACCAGAAGCCAGGCTCATGGCTGGCGAGCACAGCAGCAGTGGCAGGAGCCTCTCCTGCCTCCGCGACCGCCCTAAGGATGTCGGACTGCTGGAATGTCAGCAGTCAGACATTCCCCGAGGGCTTCCGGATTGCAAGAGGGCACAGGCTGGGCTGAGGGACACTCCTAGTGCATGAATTTCGTGCACTGGGCCTCTAGTATCATAATAGCATTGCAAAATGACTGTTAATAAATAGACTTATTGTGGTGATCACATTGCAAGGCATATAAATACCAAATTATCATGTTGCACACCAGAAACTAATACAATTGTATATGCCAACTATACTTTAGTAAAAAAATTTTAAAAAAGAATTTAGGGCATTCTGATGAGTTAGGGCTAAAACGGAAAGTGATGATAGGCCACTTTGGAGTTAATATAAGCAGGGGATCACTCAAACTCTTTTGCTGATAGAAGATGGGACCAAAAATGTAGTTCAAGCAGTTTCTAAAACAACAGGGAAGCCCCACGGGTGAATTACAGCCTTGAATTCTCTAGAGAGCCAAATGTTATTATTTATTCTTTGTGATTAACAAAGCAGACGGAAGTAACAATTTTTGGCAGCCCACCCCTTCACACACACACACAGACACACAGACACACACACACACACAAACACACACACACGTTCAGTCAGCATTTTAAATTTAGGAAGCCGACGTCAATTCAGGGGCACTACAAGTTATGTTCTTTTATGTATGTCAGCAAACTAACACACCCCTTTATTTTTTTGTGAATAAGAGGAAATTGCTTACTTCCAGTTATAATTTACCTTGAAATAGGCTTCAGTAGCTACGACAATAATGTATCACAAACCTGAACAATGACAATACAAGTACTTTGCCTGGTCGTCCTACTTTTCATGTTTTAATACACATTACCTATAAACTCCTTTCTACAAACATGATCACCTTCATCTGGGCATCTCATAGAATGCTGTGATTACCTATACACAGCCCCATAACTATGCTCCTCATTTTTATTTTTTGTTAAAGGAAACTACTAAAAACTTAAAGTGAAAAACACTTGAGAAGGGAAAGGGAAAAGTATGGACATATAAGTGGAATATTAACACCATGCAGTTAACTTTTTCCTAAGAGAACCTTCAGATGCATACACGTAATGAATGTGCCCATTACTTAGCATGACTCACGAACGAGAAACCAGCTCAGAGAAACAGCACAGTCTAGTAGATCGCCCCCCGTGCCACAGGGCTCATGACCGGCAGGAGTCTGGACTGTCACACACCTCGAATGTGGTACTTACTCTCTGGCTTCTAACTGGGAGTCCAGAGACCTGAGTCTTTCCTCTCAGAGCCACCGCTGATTCTAGGGCCCGGAGCCAAGTGCCTTTCCCTCAGGTCTCTAGGCCTCCTCTGGGCTTGGGATAGGAGTCTCTCAAGGCTCCCTCCGTCTGTCTATCCGACGACGGGGAGCATCTCGCAACCGTCCTGCACGTGAGGAGGCTCTGTGACCAGATCTGGGCTGTCCTAGGACGGGCGTCTTGCGGCCACCACAGGTGTGCTGGAGAGGAGCACCTCTCAGAGAGGCGGGCAGTCCTGGCCTCTTCATTTCTGGTGGCAACTTGACAGCATAGCTCAGGTGCCTGATGAAACCTCCCCACAGTGTAAAGCGGGGAGTGAGGGGGGAGAAGACAACAACAGGTACCAGTCTTTGGCAGCCTTGCATATTGTTACTAAGTTACTATGATTAAGGTTTAAAGCCCAGTATTGGCCAACTGGGCTTCTCCCTCTTCAACCCTGCAGGCATCCCTAGGAATCCAACCCCCCTTCCTTCCTTTCTTCTTCAAAGGGCGAATGAAATGCTGCAGGCGGGGCGGTGAGGGAGAGGAGAGAGCTCAGATAACCTTGATAGGGTAGTGGTTGATCTGTCCACGAGATAACACCCAAAACTTATTTTTATTTTGTGTTGGGGAGGGCGTTTTACATTGTCACAGAAAAGAACAACCAGTTCCACAATTATGTGGCCAATATAATGAAGAAAATGTGTGTGGGGGTGGGGGGGTGGGGGGGCATGGAGGTGAGGCAAGGCACAGTGACCTCCCCATACAGGCAAAGCTAGTCCTCCAACCTCCCAGTAGGCTGCCTCAGA